TATATGGCATACGTCAATTAATTGCGTTTAGGGGCACGAATGCGTGTTTGTGTGCGAGTTTAGTGTGGGCGACGCCTTGGCATGACCGCTATTTGTTTTATCGCACTTTCGCTAAAATGAACCACAACAACAACAGCAAACAAATTTTCGTAACAAGAACAACACTGTACAGGTGGCCATATATTAAAAATACACCCCATCACGGGCCATTGCTTGCGTTGCGCACATTTTGTTAATTTGATAAAAACCAACAACACCTGAGATTAGAAAAACGCCAACTAAATCAGCCAAGCAACTAACTTAAAAAAAAAATAACAACACAAATAGTATAATAACAACAACAGCAGTTTTCCACTTTTTCACTCGCTAATTGAAATAAAAGCCCGACAATGGTGTCGCCAGAGTGCGCCTGGAAAGCTTTGTTTTTCTTTTGGTAATTTTTCGGTTGTTTGTGGTAAAATGTATATTTTGTGTTTGGAGCGTATTAAAATTCGTTTGTGGTTGCTGAACTCATTGTGATTTCAAGTGTAAACCATTTAACTTATATGAATAATATGTTTTGAAGGTGTGCGAAAGCGAGACTCAGCTTATGCTCGTACTTATGGTCAGCTTCTACTTGCCGCTATGAAAGTGGAATTTTTGCATACTTATTTTTTGTTGATAAGCCGATTGTAATGGACTCGAGTTGGCAGCCATTTGTAATTTGAGCATTTAATTTCTCACCGGAATGCAAGGTGAAGCCATTGATGCGTAGGGAAAAGTAAAACAATCTAAAATCTGCGGTTAATTAAATTTTCGATATAAATTTCTATAGTTCTTGAAGATATACAGGGCAGCCAAACTATTTTTGGAAAACCAATTATATTTAAGTTTTTAGTAAATCTGTTAGAGATATTTCCTCTCAAAAAACCCTACCTGTTCTTGCCGTTTCAGGTATTGAAGAAAAATCGGCAACGACCATGGTTAGTGTTTTGTGTAATAATTCGACTAAAGTACGACTTATCGATTGAGGTTATGTAAGCTCATAAAAATATATATAAAAAAAAAATATATATATATAGGATTTTTAGTAAAGTTTATGCTGATTTAACACTTCAAGTATTAATCTATAATTTCATTCCAGTTGCCATGTATCCCAACCAGTGTAAAGCAACACCCTATATTTATTCAAGCACTTCCTTCGAATTGTTAATTAAATATTTTCTAAAACTTTCGAACTCTGCGACTTCAAGCTCACTTCCTGTAGGTACCGACGATCGCTCATGCATGAACCGTTAGAATTTTTCATATTTTTACAACTGCTTGCAGCTTAGAGTAAATTATTTCATAGAATTCTGACATTTTTTTGCGTTTTTGGTTGAATTACTGATAGTGATCATAATTTATGACAAACAACCCTCGAAATGTGAGCCGATAAGAAGTGCGCGAATATGAAATGAAAGTAGTGGGTAAATAGAACGAACGAATAGCGAGTAATAAATGCGCTGCTATGAAAAAATTACCAAAAAAAAATATTAATTACAACAACAAAAAATATTTAGTTGCTTGTGTGTAAATATTTTTGTAAGTCTGCATCGAACTAGTAGCAAGCATACGCCAAGTGGCAACATTAAATATGCTTCAAAACAAATACAACAAAAACAAAGTAAACCATAAATATATTGCAGCAATAAACATGCTAAAAGAATTCGCTCTGAAATTTTCAATATAAAAATCTGTTAGCTGTTAGCTGATAAACTTGTGGTTCTGCTACAACATTTTTCTTAATAAAACTAGTTTATTTAGTTGACGCTATATTTTTCTTATTTTATTTTTTCTAGGTTACACAATTTTTTTTTTTACACTTCCTTTACATTTATTATGCTGTGCACACCCTTCTCCCAAGCCCTTTTTCCACGTTCCTTCATTGAAACATGCCAGAACCTCGCTGCGCTTTCGTTTCATTTCATTTGCTTTTCATACCCACCCCTCACCTGATTTTTCGCTCTTCCTTTGCGACTTAATTTTTATTTGTTTTATCGCTCGATCGGCATATAAATCAATTTCTATGACAAATTTATTATAAACATCGCAGGTAAATGTATTTTATAACTCCCACACCACCGCACATTCTAAATATAAGTAAAAAGTTTTTGCCGCTTGCTCTTATAACTTTGGCCGAAAAAATGTGCTACCACCGATTCCGTTGTTTTCTACTTTTATGTTGTTTTTTTCACGAAAAAGAATTTGTCGCAGCAATTTAATCAAATGTCGTAATGCAGTGAAAATATTTATGATATCGTGTTAAATACAAAAACAATAAAAAATGGTATGCCAAGCTCACCCTCCACCTCCGCTGCAGCCTATATAGAAATAAATTATTAAATAAGAAATATTTGTTACAATTGACACCATAAAAAAGGTCGCCTTTTATAGCAAACATAAATTTTCCATTTGTTTTTCCGTTTGAGTGCCTTGAGTCATAAGTTTAGTTGTAAATATAAACATATATTATACAATATATTGCTTAAGAATTACATGGTTGTTGTTGAATTTATTGTTGTTGTCGTAAAACATATCGCTTTTGTTCCACTAAGTTGTGAATAGTCCAGTTTTATTGCTTTTAGTTGTTGTTGCCATAGTAAATGTTGTTATGCTGTCGCCTAGAGTTTCATACGGTTAACCAGCAGGCTGCTGCTTATTCTTTTTATTAGTTATAAATAAAGTGTTTTATTTCAAAAATGTTTGATTTAATATTTATTTCCATGTCTCATTTTTATTTTTATTGCCCTAAACTATTTTCAACTCTCAATTATGTCTTAATCCATTCTGGTACCCAAAAAGTTGAGAACATTTTGATTTAATAAAAATCTGCATTAAAAAATTTGAAATGTTTAAATCGAAATGGATGAAACAAATAGAGACAGACATAAAATGTGAAAAAAGCGTTTTGAATTACGAAAATGATATTTTGAACATGCCATAAATTTCTTTGGTATTTTTGCGCTGCTAAAAATACTACAAATTTTATTCTTTTTTTTATACCCTGAACAGGGTATATTAATTTTGCCACGAAGTTTGTAACACCCAGAAGGAAACGTCGGAGACCATATAAAGTATATATATAAATGATCACCGTGACGAGCTGAGTTGATTTAGCCATGTCCGTCTGTCTGTCCGTCTGTCCGTCCGTCTGTATATACGCGAACTAGTCCCTCAGTTTTTGAGATATCGATCTGAAATTTTGCACCTGTACTTTTCTCACAAAGAAGCTGCTCATTTGTCGGAACCGCCGATATCGGATCACTATAGCATATAGCTGCCATACAAACTGAACAATCGGAATGAAGTGCTTGTATGGAAAACTCTTTAATTTGACGAGGTATCTTCACGAAATTTGGCATGTATTATTATTTAAAGCATTAATCTAATATCCGAAGAAATTGTATGGATCGGATGACTATAGCATATAGCTGCCATATTAACTGAACGATCAGAGTAAAGTGCTTGCATGGAACATTTTTTTATTTGACGAGATATCTTCACGAAATTAGGCACGAGTTATTGCTTAAGGCAACAAATTATTCTCCACAGAAATTGGTCAGATCAGATCACTATATCATATAGCTGTCATACAAATTGAATGTTCGGAATCAAGTTCTTGTAAGGGGCCTTTGTTTTTGTGAAGGGTATTATAGCTTCGGCTCAACCGAAGTTAACGTTTTTTCTTGTTTAATTAGTGAATGTTCTTAATCGTACTACGACGGTTAAATCTTAAGAATGTACAATCTGGATTAAATGGACCAAAAAAGTTTATGTATTTTTGTTTCAATCAGAGAAAAAACTTGTGTGATATTTGCCGAGACCCCCCTCTCTCCAACGTAAGATTATATGAGATTTGACTCGATCCCCGCCCCCCCTTAAACATCTCACATAACTTATGGACGCCCCCTAAAGTGATCACTGAAAAGTACTGCGGTGAAAATCAATATATACGAATTTCGAAATCTAATTGATCAAAATACGGAACAAGCTGGTATTTTTCAATTTCTAGTATTTCAAATTTATGCTTCAACGACTTTTTTTCTTATCGACTAACCTTTTGTGACAAATATTTTAGAGATATCCTATCAGAATTAAATTATTAAAATATATATTCAAAGTGCGATACTCAAAACTCTCGAACATCAAGTTGAGCTGTTTGCTTCGATTACAAGTTTATTTATAGTTTTCTTCTATAATTTGTCGCTTGGCATCGTAAATGTAAGCAACGTTTTTCTTTTATGATAATGTGTACTTTCTTTGCTTTTGCCTTCTTGAAATATAGTAATGTACTGATCCTGCTCTTGATGTAGCTGTAGGATTTACTTTCAAATTGCTTTTAGAGAAGATATATTGTATATAGCCTTCTGGAAGGTACAGACAAACTACTGTTATAGGCCTAGACCAGTAGTCTGTATCAAGCATTTACTAAACCTTTATCTGAAAAAATTTTGCAAATTTTTTTTTCGAATAAGTAGACATTAAATCGGCTATTAGTTTTTTTCCAGCTCTTTTGCTTTCATCAAAGCTTTAGAAAATAAGAATTTGCAGCATTATACAATACTAAAATCATTGGGGACAGGGAAATGGAAGTGCTGATTGCATCAATTTTTGACATTGATCAGGTATACTTGAGAACTTATTTTCATGCAATTACATAAATAGAGACGTATATCAGTAAAGTAAAGTCAGCCGGACGTTTCAAAATCGTGTATATCAGGTATATGGGTTCAAGTTTTCGCCCGATTTTATCTATTTTGGGCAGAAAAATATACTCTGCAGCAACATGTTGTAAGAGTATAATAAAGCAGGCTAATATTTTGTTTTTTATAAACTATTTTATTTTTTGTGTACATATTTCATTAAACTTTTTATAGCAAATATTTTTCCGGCATTCATTAACTATTTTTTTTCTACTTACTCCTCAATCAACACATTTCTCACTCTTATACCCATTTATTATTATTCTTTAATTACAGTTGTTATGCATAAGGATAAGGAGGAGAATGGCATGTTGCCACACATACACACACACGCACACGATGGCTATCGAACGCGCGAATTGGGCGCCTTTGAGCATGGCCTACTCGACGGTGATATGTTCCTGCAGGTGAGTGACAAGAAACTACCCAATTACTACATTATATGTATGTGCTTGCATATGAATTGTGATATTAATTACTTATTAATGTATTCAATTATATTACGGTAATGTGTAATCATTATATAATAAGAAATTCTTGTTCATATCATTCTTCTAATATCACATACCCCTGATCTTAATAGCGCCAATTATCTATATTTATTAAGACAACTTAATTTAGTACTTGTCACTTCTCTTACCAATTGTGGTTTTGATATAACTGTGGAGCATGGTTCGTGTAATCAATATGTATCTATTTAATTTGATTGAGGCTACATTTGATTGGGTTTAGCAGAGATATAATAATGAATATGATATTCATATTTGTAAATATGCCTATCAAACTTAACAGTGGCGGATATAGAATTTCCTTCTGAGAGAATATTCTACAGAAAAATTTGCCCTCCAACATATTTTTATTAATAAATTCTGAATTTTAGTAAAAATTATTATTTTATGATAGTAGTAGTAGTGAATCGATCTAATAACTACTTTGCACATGTTTGTCCCCCAAACCCAATTCCCTAGGGATCCGTCACTGAAACTTACAGATTACCACCCAACTAGAAAACAATATGCACTACTCGTATAACATAGAATGACCATAATATTTATAAATAGCAGTACAAATTTACTTTTATATAGGTATCGTGAACTCAATCTAGAGCGGCTAAGCATGTTTCATGCCATGATATAATATTTTCATATATCATTATGTATGAGAGGAACGCGTGAGCGGAAACGCGGATAGTATTCAGAGGCGCGTAACAGTAAAGATTTGACAAAACTCTCTCACTTTAAATTAAAAAGCTGAGAGCTTATCTTAAAGTTCTTCAGCTGAATTTTTTTTAGCACATACATTAAAAATCTGCTAATATTTGCCTTCTGAAGGGTGGCAAGTAAAAAGCGTTATTGTGCTACAGGCATTTGAAAAGAGTTCTGTCACAACCTAAAATATTTCTCAAAGTTAGCAAAGCTTACATATTCATAACAAAATTAATTATTAAACTATTCAATGTCAGCTCTCAAACGAGGTTTTCTACTATTCTACTTTTATTGAAATTGAATTGGTGTCTATCTTCACCGACCTTACCAATCTACTTCGAACAAACCGTAATATGTATGTCAACAGCATCTGCTTTCCAAGTGATATAAATGAGCAGGGGAAATCATATCCATAATATAGTATTCAGTGCGTACGAGATGCAACAAATACTACGCAGAATATTTTTCTGCTTCGAGATATCAACAAAATGTTGTTATCACAAATATTTTATAGAAGAAAAACTCAGCTTGCTGCAAACTCAGCGCTTCCCAAATATATATGGGGCAATTTCCATTAAGAATTCCTTCCTCCATTCCTTCGGGGTTGCCTAAATCCAATTCATTACTTCTACATGCACACATACATACACACACATATTAGCTATCGGCAAATCGTTGCACTTCAACATATTGCCATTGCACAGTTTAATATTTATAAATAATTCAATTTCTTCAGTGCATAATTCATTCGCAAAATATTTTCGCAAGTGCAGCTAAAAAGGACTTGCGTGTCTGCGAATAATTGCGCGAGCAATTTTCAATTTCAATTCAGCTGTGCAAGCACTCAAAGTGCAAGTACTTATGTACCGCTATAACCGTTAAATACATGACTAACCAAACTGCACAACGCCATAACGCTACAACAGTGCAACAACAAATGCACATACTTTTCTATAGCATGAAATAAAAAACTACCAAAGTTGAGTTTGCAGTTAGCAGCGGTTTTGCTATGCATTTGCATTGTATAAAATCAAAATTATTTCAAAATTTCTATAGAGAATTACTGCTTTAAGATATGATATCTAAATTCTGCAGTTAATAAATATTATTTTGAGCACAAATATTTCAATGTAAAGTGCTGAATTTTAGAACTTCATATAACCGACTTAAGCTATTTTCAAATATCAGCAGCGCTCATACAAAAATAAATGCGAGTACATTGCATTTGGAGTGTTTGTCACACCGAGCTTGCCCACTTGTCAAATGCACGCGTTTGTCCGTCCGGTCGACGATCGGGAAACGCGCCTTTCATGCGAAGTTTTCGCGCATTCCCTGCAAATGTTGTTGTAGTTGTTGCTATAGTTTTTGCATGTAACTCTCTTTGAGCTCAATTTTTTGTTTTTTGCTAAACTATGCAGGTTTTAGGCTTGTTAGGCGGCTGCATTTCAATGTCATGACCTAGGTTTTTCATTTGAAGAAAGGGTGGCGCAGAAAATTTTCTCAAAACCGGTAGTTGTTTTTGGCCAAAAAAAGCACTCGGGGTGTTTGACAACCCCTAAAACATTTGATTTTGCGTTGGTAAAAATTATACAGGCGCGTTGCTGTTATATCAGAGCAGGCAAGAAAAACGCACCCGTCCTTATAGCGCTTTACATATTTGCACATTAGGGTTGCTGGAAATGTTTTGAAACAGCTGAATTATTTCCAGATTTATAGTTATCTGGTTAGAAATAGTAAATAGGTGAGTTAAATATGAAATTACAAAATTAGCATAAAATAGAGACGGGGTTGCCACCAAATTAAAAAAAAAATATTCAGCATATAAATAAAGACCACATATTAAAACGATATTATTTGAGCAGGAAATTTAAAAATACTTATCAAAATATTTAACCAACATTGCCACTTGGTTAAAAAATGGAAATATTGCATAGAATATTCTAGCATATAAGTACTAATCGGAAAGCAATATCCGCAAAGCAAGTTCAGCAGCAGTAGAGTGTTTATTTACAGTTTGTGAGTTTTGAAAAGAGTTGCCAACTGTGCGAAAATTAAAATTCAATTTATTATACAAATAAAGAATGTGAGATAAATTTAAGGTATTTGGGACCTCTATATTAAAATAATGTTAAACAGCGTGGCCACCACCTTAAAAAAATTATCACAATTTCACATGTAACACTCCAGTATAGGTAACCATCAGGAAGTATTTTTAGTATAGATTTATAAAATATATGAAGTCAGGAATATTTTAAAAGAGTTGCCAAGCGTCTAAAGATCAAAGTTGAAGCTCTAAATAATTTAAATTTAAAGAAAAGTATTTTAAAAGCATTTGCAAGAACTTCTATATTTAAAAAAAAACACATAAACAGTGTTGCCATCTTCTTAAAAAAGACAAACTAATCAATAAATTTCTATTTTACAATAAATTTTATAAAACTGCCTTATACCTATAAACAGCCAAAAAAAATTAAAATTTCATAAACGGGGTTGCCAACTGTTAGCGCTAATAAAAAAATACTCTGCAACTTTAATGTTTCTCCATGATATATCAACGAGTGTATAGTTTTTTCAGTAATATTAAAATTTATGAGTGATTCTACTATATTTGCCGTTGTTTATAACGTTTCTTCGAACTTCATATGCCATATTTTTACTTTTTACAACCACTCTAATATTGTATTTGTATTTTAATGGCTCAACTCCGTAACATTCCCAAACAATTAGTCCTTAACCCACACCTGACTACGTTGCCACCTGTACGTTCCGCGACTCTTGCCACATTTCACCCTCGCCGCGGTCGCAAATTCGCTTGCATTTCTAAGTACAATTTGACCAATGTTGCATTTTCAATGCATTTCGCACCTAATTTTTCTTCAACACTACAACTTGCAATTTGCTCGTACATAAGCTTTACGTATGTGTACATGTATACACACATATGTGTGTGTGTGCATTGCTTGTGTTGGCAGTGCGGCAGATAATAACGGCGTTTTGGCACACAATTTCTGAATTATTAGTGCGCGGCAGTAAACAAACAAGCTCGCATGAAGTGCACTTGCATTTCGCACACACACACACACACAAACATATATATATATATATATGTATATATACATGTGAGTACATATATATTTACATTTAGATACATATGTGATGTATTTTTTGCGCATATGTGCGATTGTGCAAAGAACTTTCGTTATAGAAATGCGAAGCTTTTGCATTTAGTTCGTACTTTTTTGCTTTTTATAGAACAATAACAGCGACAACAATGAAAAACTCGAACAGTGACTGTTTGTTGGGCTAGTTCAGTATATAAGTATCTTAGTGGTTATATTTGCTCAAGTGCCAACATTGACTGACAAGTCTCTATGCGCGCAATGTGTACAACAATGCGCTTGCATGCATCTAACTGCAATTGAAAAGCGGCAATACTCAAATGAATGACACGTGCTTAGATATTATTACCCGCGCTACTCTATAATCATTAGTATGTTATTTAGGTCCCAATGGAAAATCGAGAGATGTGTTCTAGAATTTTTCTTGATTGTTCAATTAATAAAATTTTTGTGATTAAGCAAATTACTTATAATTTTTAACTATTTTTATTTAATTTTTGCTATTATTTATGAAAAACTGGATACTATTTTTATGCCAAAAATGTCGCTACACATACTTTGAAATGTCAGAGAGAAATTTCTACAACAAAAATAAAATAGTTGGAAGATTTAAAATTATGATTTTCCTGAGTATAAAAAATATTTTATTATTGCAAACGTTTGTGGTCTATTTTTTATTAATTAGCGCTAAAACACTGTTAAAAATATTTTTAGAATTCATATTGAATGAAACGCCTCATGTGATTGCCTCCCAGATTGTTTTTTTTTATATTAAAAGTTTTGAGTTTTTATTTATAACATTTCGTTTGGGGTGAGAAATCCTTCTTTGTAAGTCCTGCATAAAGATCATATTATATATTAGTTACGAAAGTATTGTTGTTCTGACAAGGAGTGTGATCACAAGAAAGGATATATTTATATATACAGATAGCCAAGCAACTTTAAAATCACTAGAATCTCCTAGGGTTTTATCAAAGGTATTGAAAGAATGCCTTGATGTCTTAGTGGATCTAACATCCTATTTCACGATAAACCTGCAATGAGTTCCAGGGCATAGTGACATACCTGGTAACTGTGAAGCAG